GTTTGGTCAGGAAGTCTGTAGTTGCAACTGGTAAGCCGTTGTTGAATAGAGTGTCACAGAATAGAGTTGCTGCTTCAGAGTGGAGTTCTGACTCCACAAGTTTACAAAGTATATCTAGTCAGAGTGAAGTTATAAAACCTTTAATGATTTGTGAGGAGGAACCAAAATTGTCTACTTCTGTTATTAAAGAGTTTGAAAATGATGAAGTTGACGGTAAAGTGAATATTCGTGATAATGATCATGATACTTCACAGTTGTCTTTGGTTGATCATTATGAGATGAGGGATATGCCTACTACTGCTAAGTTAAATAAAGGTTCTGTACAACTACAACGTGAAGTAGAATTGAACGCAGATGCAGTTCCAGAAGGTGTGCATACTTGTGAGACAGTCAGTGTAATTGATCAGCGTGTAGCCCACCTATCATCAGATGATAGTGCTAAACCCGAACTAGTAGTGAAAGACAGCAGTGGTGGTAATCTTGCAGTTGGACAACTATCTGAAAGCCGAACAACAACAGCTTCTGATCCACTGCTAAGTTCATCACCTTGTGTCACTCAGTCATCGTTGGTGTTGTCATCCACAATGAAACAGTCGTCCATCAACTCAAGTATCTTCTGCAATGACTATGATAGTATGGTGTGTTTGAAAGGACGAAAGATATTGCTCAGTTTAGAGAGGATAAGCCAAGTGTAAACGAGAGAGTAATTGTTAAATTGACTTGCACGAATAAAGGCATTTCTAGTTTCAAGTTACTATTTGAATGTTATTATCTTTGGTGTAAATTACTCTGTTTCTACACTTGGTTGATGAGATATGTCGTGTGTTTGTTGGTCATCTATATTCTACGATACAATGACATGAGCGTGTTGCCGTTCAGATTTGAGGATATAGCTCATAGAAGGAAGTTAGCAAATGAACTCTGCGACGATTTTCCAACCTAGAGCGTCAACCTGAGAAGGGTTGTAGGCGTACTGCTGTAAGTCCTACAATTCTTCAAAGGGTAGCGCATCAATGAGCAGTCCAATGTGCTTGGTGTGTGATTTTGTACATATGTTCATATTGTATATACTGAATTGATATCATCTGTCATCTAGCTGTTGGTAATTCTGTTTGTGTCCGGACGACTTCCACTTGGATCATCAACCTGAGAAGGAATGTAGGCGTACTGCTGTAAGTCCTACAGTTCTTCAAGGGTAGTTTGTCATGCCGGAATCCACAACATTTGATGTAGTGATTGTACATATGTTTGTGTTAAATAGTTGTGTGAGTTCCAATTATTGTAATTGTTGGTTAATCTTGTTTGTGTCCGGACATTCCACAACTTACAATCGTCAACCTGAGAAGGGTTGTAGGCGTACTGGTGTAAGTCCTGCGATTCTTCAAAGGAATTCCATCAAGACATGATCGCGAGTTTGTGTGTACTGTTTGTATGTATGTGTGGTGTGTCATATCAATTGGTGTTTTTGGATTCATTGTGTTTACTCGTTGTTTTCGTACCTTGTTGTTATTGCATAATTTTGTTAAAATTTTCGTCGTGATTACTTCTGAAGTTGTTTCGAGTCTTCTACATCCGTGAATGAATTGATTGATGTTAAGGACAGCAGATGGGTCGTATACGCCGGGGAGGCTAGGCTATTGCTGAGAATGAAATGCACACGGAGATAATTGTTAGCTGCGGTCCGACACGCCGGGGAGAAAGAGTGTAAACGACTGAGGCTCGCATGCGTCACCGCTACTAGAACTGAGGCAGAATGAGTGACAAGCGATTGCAGTGGTAATTGGTAGTGAGTAGATAAGAGGATGTGCGTAGAGTATCAAGAGTTGGTGCTATGGTCACGTTGCATTCTGCAAGAGTCATTCTAGCAAGTGGCGATTGTGTTGCAAGATGTCAAGAGGAGGTCTCTGTCTGGAGGCGCAGGTCGTCATTGATGTGTGAGATTGTGCTGTGGGTATGCTTGTGGTGTGTTGGCTTTTCTGTTTGTTTTCCATTTCAGCTCTGTCCGTGTGACCCAGGTTCTCGCAATGGCATCCAAGTCAACGTGCATTGGTCGTGAAGGAAAAAAGGGTTGGATCCCTTTTTTGCCGGGGAGTGTCAATGGAGTTGAAGATTGAACGATCAATTCATGGTTGTTTGCTCAAAATCAACTTCCCCAATTTTCGCGGAGGCATCAATACGACAGTCATCGTCTCATCGGTCGCTGTTCAGAAAGAAGTCAGCAGTAAACCATCAGAAACCTTAGTAGAAATATTTTTTATATGTTGGTGTTACAATAAAGAATTCCAAAGTGGCCAATCGGTGTTTTGGTTTTTGCGTCCGTTATTACTAAGCGTTTCTGAAAAACTTCAAGGAACAGCGTGAGCCCGAGCGTAGCAAGAGCTGGGCATTAACGGTTTACGAGACGTGACTCACAAATATACTTTATGTCAAGGATGCTGTTTACATCAATGTTACATGGGAGAATTTTCATCAAGCTTTTTTCCCGGGTATCTGTATTTCTTTCATCTGATGTCTGGCTTTCTGTTTATTTGAAAACAATATTTCTATATCTCTTTATGTTTTACACCGACAGACTCTATAGAAAACTGTTCCCACTGACTCTAATGTCAGAAATAACAGCCAAACTGTAAATTCACGATATATCAAAATATGTGTAATTTATGTAATAACTTATCCATGCCAGTACAATTGGTATATTCCTGCATAAACAGGAATAAATAAATAAATGTTTTAACTGTGATCTACTACTGGATACCATTCAGTTCACATTTGCACAAAATATAGTACAGCTCGATCCAGATCGTGAAAGGCTATTAGTAGATTCCTCCTTCCCATACCGTACGAAAGATAGAATCACGTCTCTGATCACAGCTATTGACTTTAGACGCAGGAATCAAAATTTGATTTACAAGTTGACGCCCTCAATCAAATAATTATTTATTGCATAAGTGCGTCGCCAGTGGGAAATATGTGCATTTATCTGATTGGTTTGTTAACAAAGGTTGAGGTGTTTCAGTGAGGCTAAAAGGGGTGCTAGATAAAGATCAGAAGCATTTTTTCACTGAGGCCCTTGCAATAACTCATTTAAGTAGAAAATCACCTCCTACATGTTTATGGGGAAAATTTTGGTAACTTTGTCAGTAGCTACTGCTGTTGGCAAGACAGCTCTTGAGAACTCAGAATGCTCCGTTTTTAGTTGCTGGAAAGTGATATTTAAAATGCTATTTGTCCTGATGCCTGAAAAGCCACACTGGCTCTTGCGGATAACCCACGAACCGTTTCCAGATATAAATAATAAGTCTATATCATATTCAGGAATAGCAGGACTTCGTAGCGTTTTCCATCTGTTAGGAAACAACAGACAATGACTTTATTTTTCCTCTATTATTGTGGCATTATGGTTATCTGAGTTTCAGACTGATAAAAAGCGGTGAATTGCATTAACAGATGACAGCAGACGTCAGCAACAAGGTTTTGTTTCTGAACCCCTTTCTCAAATTTTCGATTGGGTTTTCCGCTAGAGTCGTCTAGCAGGAAGGGATGTTTGCGTTCACGCGAAGTACTTGTGCAAACTCAAGTTCATAACTCCGAATCCCTGTAGCGTTTGTTTCTGCTGGACGAAAAATTCAAAACACTAAGTTCATCGCCCGAAATACGAAGTGTAATCCGGTATCAGAATTGTAGTGCGATGATGATTGCTTAGCCAGCTAGAGATCGTGTACTAGCAACCGAAGGTGGCATATTTTGTGAACGCTTCACAGTGCACTTTCAGCTTTACAAATTTATTGAAACAGTATAGCTCAGCATCCAGTGTCGAGTGAGGAATGCCGTATGCTAATAACTTTGGGAAATTGTTTACCACTACTGTGTTTACTGAAGTGCTTGAAATGGTAGTTTCGTTTGTGTATGAGTTCGGAGACCTGCATGTAAGTATCACCCTCCAAGAGGGATTTTCAGACAAAAGACATGGATAGATGAAGTGCTATGTGACTGTAAATCGTTTGCTAGGAAGACTGCCAATTTGCTTCCACTTTATTTTGGTGAACGATTGGTAACACTTAACTACACAAAAATGCCATTTGCTAGTGATCCCGGGATTTTGAAGACAGTTTAGTGCTTCATAATTTATCACCAGAATCTACCAAGTGGTTATGATGCTGGAATTTATAAACCAACTTTAGCAGCAGTGCATAGCAGCCAACTACATCATCATCATCACTATTTAATGGGTAAATCAACACTGCTTTACGTTGTGGAACGAAGATACCGAAGATATATTGTTGCTATTGTGATTAATTCATAGGTTAGTCTTCATTAGAGATGGCGTATTTAGGATGTTAACTGCTACCTGCGCGTGATCTTACCTTGAACACTACACAGCTATTTAGCATTTGTCATAAGAAATTAGTAGGAATTACATAAATATCTAGGAAGAAACTTAGTACTATATTGGCAGAAGGAATTCTTTACGCATTCCTTTTCATGTTAGCATATTGTAGGAAAACGTGATGTTTTGTCAGTTCATCTAAATGACGACATGGTCTTTCACAAGCCTGATACTTCTACTGTTAGATGAAAGGTTTACCATGAAAATGCCAATGAGCATGTGAGCGAATTAACCATTTTTAGGGGCCGGAATTATAACTGGTCACCGCGGCACATGATACCCTTTGAGAAAGAAAAAAGGCCTGAAAAACATGTGTTTGGATTACAAACCTGGAATGCTTGCATCAGTCTTCTAGAAACGGGAGATGTTCTCATACAGAGCCTACAAGATTACGGTAAACCAAAAGAATTGTTTGAGGAATTACCGGATATTATGCCATAGCATCTTAAATTGAATCATAAATCGCATGAAATTACTGGTTGCAGTGCATAACGTAGATGATTCGATCTTTTTAACCATACTGGAAATTGAAACCACTGAACGTTGTTTGTCTTATTGATACATTGTTGTCGGACATTAAAAGGCACAAGACTAACGTTGTGTTTGGCTCAGCATGCCGAAGTACGATCGTCAAGCGAACGGATATAGAGTTTTTGTTGGAGGTGTGGATCCTCGTGTCGGCAAAGTAGATATAGAACAGGAATTTGAACGGTTTGGTCCGATCGCAGATGTATGGGTTGCACGAAACCCACCGGGTTTTGCTTTTATAGTATTCAAGTATGCAGAAGACGCTGATCGAGCTGTAAGACGAATGGATGGAAGGTGAGAAGTTGATATATACTTTATTTCATCTACAGTCGTCCTTTTGGATCTCGTCTGAGGGTTGAACATGCGGTTAATAATAAAACAGCGAACAGGTAGGTAGATTCAAACTTTCAGTGCTATCATTGTGGGTATTCAGTAAGTATATGTAGGGCTACTGTCCTGGTTCTTTGTGCGATTTCTTCTGTTGCGGGTATATGACTTACTGGTTAAGGCATTAAATTTTCAACCAAATTAGCTTATTTATTGAGTCTCGCTACACCTGCTTGGGCAACTAGGTGGTATCACCAGCCCCCACACGTTACATGTGGCTCATATAGCCCGTGACATGAAAAACCTGTCTCGTGTGGTTGAGCTCTCTACTGCAGTCAATTCACGGCCGACGACATGGAGAAGATGTGCATTATGGTAACAAGTATGTTGCAGTGGCTGACCCACTATTCGTGGGTACTGTTTTTTCATTCATGAGTTGTCAAGTATTACGGTAGTCCTATTACCTACTAACTGAAGGTAATACTACGGGGTAGAAAGGTAAGTGTTACAAAAACTTAGTTATCGTTAATTTGTGAGATATGAAGACTAACTAAATTCCTGCACTTCTTCTTGCATCCAAGACTGCCTCGTGGCAGATGTCACAACATCGCGCCAGAAGCCGCCCACGTCCACTACCTAATTCATTCATAGCTTCAGTCATCACAAAACGGTTTGTTCCTACGACCTGCGTTTCCTCCGTCTGATCATTCCTCGTCTCCCTTTGGTTTGCCCGAATTTTCTACGTATACATCTTCGAGTACTCTAATGTTTACCTTCATGCTAAGCAGATCATCGCAGCATCTCAATAAGCCCGCATTTTGTCACAGTAAGTTGCTTAGCTAAGTGCACTTTAGGCTTTTACATAGACACACAGTTGGGTTTCGGATATTCCTATTTTTTAATAGCTAAATGTTTCATATTAATGGTCTCTGCTGATTTATGGTCACAGTATAGGTCAGCTGCTAATCTCCTGTTGTAACCGGACGTCTTCTGGCGACTCTGAACGCCAATGATTGTGGGAATATTCGCTGCCATCGATTGATACTTATTGATGTACTCAACTAAGTTATGATTTCCAAGCCACTGATGACACTTCGGAAGCCTTGCAGTTGCATTGAAAGAATTGCAATAATGTTGTTAATTCACGGAGGTCGTATGAAGTTTTGTACCACCTTGTTTGTTTCATATGATACAACGAAGCCTAGATAAATCTTTCAAATGAAGCTCTCTTGGTGGTGGTACTGTCCGCTTCAGTATAATTCACTGGCAGCTCGGCAATTTTGTATGGAACCCGGTGAGTGAGTAGTTGAGAATTCTAGAATAACCCAGTAGTTTGAAGTTTTTGTATGTTGATTAACAGAGATAGCACTTGGGTTTCGCTCCTGTGTTACTATCTGTGCTGGTATTGTGTAAATCAAAGAATATTACTCGGACTCATTATGGTGTCAGACCTTTGTATCGCGTTCTTGATTTCTGGGTCTGTTGTATTCATCCTCAGGTCTTGCCACTCCTACGAGGGAACTTTGGCTCAGTGTAGACATGAGTCAGTTCTCATACGTTGGTTTGTACACTGCTTTTACTGAGTGTCGTCTGCGAATGCGTCCGCATAGAGTGCTTCCATTTTATTTAACTTATTTGAAATAGTTTAACTGCTGTGATTAGTTACCAATCTTAAAATGTATGTAGTTTGTTTTTGATCCTTCAATTTGCCCCTGCCGGGTTATGAGTAGCCTTGACATTTGCTTTTCAGCCGACGCCAGGAGAGGTCACGATCTCGTTCTTATGGTAGACGCCGACGAGGTACGCCACCCCACCGCCGACCACCCATACAACGTTCTTCATCGGGACATAAAAGGTAAGTTCGCATTCTGGCTACCAACCTTTTGTAGATCTCCAATTAATCATAGAGATATGAGGCGTCACTCACCGTCCATGTCATACGAAAGAAACAAGTCAGGTCAAGAAGGCGGTCACCGTACCAGGTCTACGTCATGTAACAAAAGATCAAACAGATACAAGTCACCTCAACCTCGGTCTAGAACAATGTCTCCCAGTTCACATCGAAATAGCAGTCGGCATTCTCGTTCCCGTTCCCGACACTCGCACAAGAACAATGGACGCCACAGTCCTACACCTGATCGCCGTTCGGCTTCGGAGTATGATCGCTCTCAATCCCGGTCACCAGATATTGAAAGGAAGCACAGCTATGACGGTTCCAGAAGTCCAATTGACGATGGTCATAACGCAAGTGCTGACGAACGCATTTCATTCAATCATGATTCCCGTTCTGTGTCTCGTTCTCCGTCTTCGACACATCAGAGCAACTTACAGTCCCGATCTGGAACCCCGTCTGACTATGGCAATGGTAGTGCCAAACGAGGTCATTCAAGTAACAGTCCAACAGGTGAGCTTGATATGTTTAGATCCATTCTAGCGGATAGTTTCTTGTCCGCTTTCACCTGACCAAACTTCTATTATCTAAGTCGAAATCATAACTTTCTCATTGGTGGCAAGGTTAGTTCCGAATAAATACACATCCGCCATTCCGAACATTATCGTATTCACAGACCGTAGGATATTTATATTTTCCGTTACACATTTTTTAATGAAATTCATCAGGGTTTTGTAGAAGTTAGGGGGAGATTTTTATGCTAGCATATCAGTCCATGGTACGACAGTCCTATACACTTCCAGTGCTTTCGTTGTTCAGTGCTGAATGTTATGTTAAAAAGATGAGAAATGTTTGGTCGTCGATCTTTCGTTTCATCTTAGAACTGTACATTTAGCTTTGTGAGGGTCACATTAATCTACAGTGTACAAATGTTGCTCAGTGTAAAACAAAGTAAGACATGAGTTCATCAGTTTCATCTGTTCACAACTTGCACTTTCTATTTACGATAATAATGTTGACCATCTTTTTTTCTTGGTTAGTTAAATTAAACCCTACTTGTTTTGTTTTTTTCAGGTGAGCGAAGCTGTCAAGAAAGCGAATGATTTGTAAAAGAGAAAAATTTTGTCCATATACATATATATATATAATTCCATAAATACTCTAAGTCTTTTAATGTCTGGTTTGGACACCTGTCCCGTATGTTGCAGTAGTATTTCGCTTCTTGTTTTTGAGCGGATAATCATCCAGTAGATGAAGATGTAAATCGTCGATTGTATTTCGGACATATAAGCTAGTGCGTTGTGCAATAGGATTTAGTGTATAGGATTATATCCATGTTGAGTATTTTCCTTAGGTGAACGTGGAGTAATACATGTAGCCAACAAAGCTGGAACACTGACGGTTTATTTTCTGGACATGCGTGTTACACTTTCATTTTGATTTTTGCTGCGACGTGTCCCATATGAGTTGGTCGAAATAGTAGATTTTTTGCACACACTCTCCAGGAACACCCGTCTTTAACGAACTTTTCCAAAAAACAATTTTGACCCATGAAATGAAAAGTTTTAATGTGGGATGAAGTGATTGTTTGATGTGCAGTGCTTTTGACGGTGTTGTAGCAACAAACAAATGATGAACACCTGAAATGATAATTTTTTCATACATTCTACACAGTTTCTAAAGCAATACAGCAGTTAATATTTTAGATGCGACAGGCAGCAGAGTGGTAGCTTTATGATTACCACGTGTATCGCATAGGTCGTTTCTAAAGACAGGCAACATTGATTCATTCCACATTTGTGGAACTTTCTCACTTTCCTGATCAGCCAAGTCAGTTCTCTGTCCAGTGTGGTCGTCGGACTGGTGATAAGTTGTTTGTTTGAGATGCGTTGTGGGCTCGAATACATGGATTTCCCTTCATCCTCCACTTTGTCGGTTAGGTCGGTATTGATCCACCATTGGACACTTTTATTAGTGATGTAGGCTAAATTGCTTTATGTAGCGCGCTGCCTGGCGTCCCTAGCACTTCTGTGTTCTTTACTGAAGGACCGTTTGCCTTATTGATAGTCCAACCTGACACCATGCTTCTTGCAGTCAGGTGGCTTTGATGAACTGGGACAGCTTCACAATCTTTCTAGATGCAGTGGCTAATTAGTTTTGACACGTCTTAACCACCTGGCTTCATGGTTCTAATATAGTAGATATTTGGTCTTATGTGTAAGAGTCTGACACAGGTTGTTATACTTGTAATTTCGTCTGAACTGAATGATGGGTTTCAAGAAGTAGAAAGGAACTCGGGTAAAATCCAGTTTTTTCTACCTGAACTCTTTCTAGCTTCACCATTATTCCTATGGTATATTTTAAACAGATATAGTGTTCATCTTACTATCTTCTACTTCCCATGCAAGCAAGTTCCTGTGCTTTTATGAGTAAAACTGCTAACACGCGTCAACAGAACACTGGTGGTTGAAGCAAGCAATCTCACGTACTTTATCCCAGCTTCGATTGAGTATACCAGTCATTTGTGTAGTTTACTTTTGCAAAATAGTGGCTAGGCTTTAAAGTATGAGAAGAGCCTATTAGAACTGTCGCTGCATTTAGTGAGTCGTCTACCCCTAACGCACCTCATGTTTCAGCTGGGAGGTATATCACGTCGGACTGTGCAGTTTTGCTGCTTTCTTCCTTTAGATACTAATCGTCAGTACTTATCATTCCGTTAATTTACTTGAAGTGTAGTCATATCCAGTGCTATTTAGTTAGTGAGGTAACATCTGGTTTTGCATTTGATGGGAGAATGACTTTCTCCATATCACTCAGAATTCACGTTCACAACCGATTACATCTATCACATCGGCAACAATTTGTCGAATGCATTGTAACTCCACGCTCCTGTAGTTTTATAAAGTATGTTGAGATGTAGCAGCAAACTGATATCCGATGTTCGTAGCCTTCTTGAACGACAGAATAACATTTTCTTTCCTAATAGAGCAAAATAAGCAATAAACGAACGCACTAAGCATATATGAACCCATAAATTTAACCCTTTCGGTTGATGTCTGCATATGATGATGATGATTTTTCCTTCACGTTCCCAGTGGAATATAGGGCCTCAAGCTAGTGGCTTGAAGTTTCTGTAGCAGTGTTTAATTTTACAGATTGCGGTAGCCAGTCTCATGCCCAACCTTTCCTCTTTACCAGCATTATTTCTGGCTTAGCGAGGTAAAGGAGTGCGTCGGCCGGGGATCGAACCTTGGACCGTGTGCATTGTCGGCCAGCGTCCCAACCGCTGTGCCGCCGACGCACGATGTCTGCATATAACCTGAACGAATTGATGGGCTTCAACAAGGAACTCCGAGAAACCCAATGGTTTTTAAGCAGACGTTATCCTAAGGCAGCTTTTACTTTGATGGTGTCTAGTAATTGCCATCGTCCCTACTACCTGTATTGAGCTGCTTGATTCCTGAAAGCTGTAGGTGTTTCTTCTAGTTTGATTCTGTAAACGTTTCGAGGGAAATATTTATGATCACCAAAACATACAACTGCTCAAGATGTATTGACATTCCTGTGTGCACGTTCACCTCTGTTAGCTTTTGTCAATTTAATAGTGGTTATGTTTGTGCCAGGATTTGGTGTTGGCTGGAAATAGTTTGTATTCTGTGCAGAATTTCAGAAGACGGTCATCATCTAGACCTCAGTGACCTCATGAGCGACTCTTATCGGAACCCAGACAGCAGGCTCATTCATTTAACTCCCCAGGTGGCATCCAAATATTTGTTGAATACGAATGCTCACGCACTTGAGAGGCAGAGCTAATCCTTCATTTCGTCTGTTGGTAGATAGGCAGAGATGGTAAGAAGATAATGCTTCTCTCGCTGGTTACCTCTTACTGTAGCATAAGGGGATCTAGTCAGGCCGTACACCTTTGGCGGTACCAATGCCAGCTCTGCCGATGCTACAATGTTCCAAGAGAAGCAGACGTGGCACAAGTTGTTCGAATTTCCAGAAGGAGATCTGGAATTTTGTTGGCATGTTTCAACAGATAGGTTTGTCAGTGTTCTGACCAGATATACCCGTTATCCGATTTGCATCAATGCACGGACGTTGCAGGTGGCAGTCTTGGACCCAAAACGCGATGTCGCAACAGCCGTGTCAGATGTCGCACTGAATCTAAATAACTAGGAACGCATGGACACACTGAGATTTCAAACAGTATTAAAAGGCTGACTAAAGTAAGGATTCAAATTTAGATCTGATATTTGGTTGAGGATAGAAATTTCCAAGCATATGTTAACCTTTTTCCGATAAGTGCCTGTGAGTGTCTAATTCCTTCTCAGACGAGTCGATTTACGGCTCAGACACTTTTTCTGGAAGTCCGTCCTAAGAGTTACTGACTTGATGTAGAAACTAGTACTCCAGAGCAATGTAGTCCATCTTTGGCCTTTTTATATTCTGGTAGTTGCTTGGAAATGTTCCGACATGGTAAAGATCAGGGCGATAGTCATTGCTTATATTTCCGAACATCTTGATTATTCTTCATCTGTGCCTATGGAATGATAACGAGAAGAGACTCAAACCCTTAAATCGTTCCTGGTATGGTGAACTGACCATACCACTAATCTTACTAATGCCTTTCCTTTCAACTACTTATAGAACACATGAATCCCTTTTTAGACAAGGGATTGGAGTATGAATGTAATTTACGTGTTTTAACCTCACTTTTCAGTCAGATTCATTTCGAACTTAATCGATATTTGGAATTTTCCTCCAATAGCGTTGTTTCTAGCTGCAATGTACAGCTTCCTGGCCTCTGAAATCTTCAGGTCAAATAAACATATTTCAGCACTTCAATTTTTGCCTAAGCACCTAGTTTACCACTAGGAGCAATGTGTTCGATCCTTAGGGATAGTCCATAGGATGTAAGTTCAAGTTACCCGGAATGCTTATGAGATCTCAGATTTGTAGTTCAATACTGGCATGAAGCTGCAGAAATAACATTACTTATGACGGATTTCCATACGTTTGGTTAAATTAAAGTTTTGACCAGGATTACTACAGTTACTGTGACTACAACTTGTCATTAACTGTTGTTCTCTTCTTCACCTGACCTTAGTATTTACTAGTTATTATCCACCTAAGCTATGAGGGGAGCTAAAACTACAGTGTCAGCGGTTGGTGTAGTTTTTGCGGAATTTCTTGTTGTAGATTTAAGGTCCTTGCTACGTCTTTTCTATTCAGGAGGATTAAGTGTATTGAAGCTAGAGTTTTGTAGTAGTGTCTAACCAAAGCTACCTTTGCATTTATCAATCCGGCTAAGTTCATCATCCTGAATATCCAACCATTGATTATTGTCCCCCCGTTATGAGAGATAGAATTTTACTGTCGACAAGCCCCGTTTAGCATTGGAATAAGGCGTTTTTTCGATCGACAATAGTCTTTGCACAGCCAGTATGCGAGAGGCTTGTAGCTGCATATCGTATAGAACCGTAAACTGCAGTAATCACATTGCGTATAATCATCTACTAAAAAGTGAAACATTATTCCACAGTGGTTCTTTCTAATGGTTATTTTTCATGAAAATCTTAAGACACAAAAGTGATAAAAATAAAAGCAGGAATATTATGAAATCAATCAAGTTGCTGAATATATTATTGACCAAGTAATCTACAATTGTGTACATACAAGCAGAATTTCCCATTGTTTGGGTGCTGTTATTTTTTCGACGGTTGAGATTCCGCCTGGAAATCCAAACCAAATCACGTGGTAACTTTAGGGCACCAATCTCCAATTCTTTGAAATAAAGTCTGATCCACAAGGTAGCAAAGCTACGTTCTCACATTAACCGCTGACCTAAACAGGTTCGTATCCCATAGAATTCTGAAGCCCATATACACAATAGGTTTGGAATATAGGTTCACCAACCTTCCTGATAGAACTCCCATTTCTACCAGCTCATTGATTAATACCCAACATCTGCATTTACTCTTACTTTAGTTAGGATACCAGCTACGTGAAGACTGTGACAGGGGCAAAGAATGCATGATCACATAACAGCATTTTGATAAGAAGACTTAAATTGACCCACCCTCGTTCACCGAACCCAAAC